CAGACGACCAAGGCCACGAGTCCGCTACTGGACTACCGCTCCAAGCACTTGGTGCCGGAGCGGATGAAGACCATGGAGAAGGCGATCTTGGCCAAGGACTTCGAGGCATTTGGCAAACTTACGATGCAGGACAGCAACCAGTTCCACGCCACGTGTCTTGACACTACACCGCCGATTTTCTACCTAAACGATGTGTCTCGTCAGATCATCCGCCTGGTTCACCGCTACAACGAGCAGGCTGGTCGCTTGCAGGCCGCATACACGTTCGACGCCGGTCCGAACGCAGTGATCTTTGTTGAGGAACAACATGTACAGGAAGTAGTGTCCCTTGTGCACCACTGCTTCCCTACGTCGTCGGAGATGACCGTTAAGTCGTCGATGCTCGTCGACCGCACGCCATCCGATGCGCTGCTTGCGAGGATGGAGGCGAAAACCGAATGCGGGAAGGCGTTCAAGCTCCCGCACATTCCTGATAGTGTTAAAATGATGTACGTGTCTCGCGTCGGAGGTGGCACGCGTGTCTTGGCCGCGGACGAAGCGCTGGTCGATTCTGCCACTGGCGAGCCGCTGCCATATCACAAGGAGAACTCAAGTACTGCTGAGGTGCGTGGCTGTCCGCTCTTCAAGCCGAGCTTTTGGCTGCCGGAAGAACCAGCGCTGCGTTATTTGGCCACTGCAATCGCCGCAGCAGCAGTGACCAGCGCCGTGCTGTTGCGGAAGTAAATTCCAAGAGCGTGAAGACACAGGCATAGAGGTTATCATCAATAAAAGTGTCACTCTGTTACGTTGTATTGCTCTTGAGTCCGAGCTGCTTTTGCACCATTTCGATCAACTCGTCGTCCGACAGATTAGTAGCCTGCGCCCATGGCGGCGGACGCAGCTTAACCTGCTGCATGCTCTGCATGATAGCTACACGCTTGTCCTCCTGCAACCGGGTATCCTCCTTCTGTGTGGGCGCTTCTTCCGTCTTCATTTCGCTTTGAAAGCATTCTTTAGCATCCTCTTCACTGTCTAAATTGCCTTCAAACTTCAGAGACGCCTCGGAAGCGGCGTCGTCACTATTGCAAGGGGATGAAGGCAGCAAAGCGTAGCTCTCGAAGCCTCCGACCGCTGCGCTTTCCTCGCCTTCACTGTCGCTACCAGCGGATTCCGCGTCACCTTGCCGTGCGGGAGTCTCTGCAGGCGCTCTGCTCTGCGCTAAGACGGCCGCATACTCGGCCTCAAGCGCTGCGAGCGGGTCGATAGCGGCAGCGTCA